ATTCTTCACGACAATAAATATCTGGATAGTGAGATTTTTGAAAAGCTGATTCCAACTCTTGTAGTTGATCTTGTGTAAATGTTGTACGATGACGTCTTCTAGCTGGTGTGGGACATGAACTGGCTGTAGTTGTTGTTGTTATTGCTGTTGTCATTGCTGAGTAATGACCAGTTGTTCCAGTCAATGAAGCATGCTTTATTCCACCAGACGATGGACTTTCATCTGTAGACAAAGAATGTAAAGATTCTGGACTACAAGGTGATTGTATATTACTCAATGAAATATCATGACTAATTGCATATGGATTAATATTGGTAGCAGTACGATTTAATGAGCTAGATCGTAAATGATGCATTGTATTTGATAAACAGCTTACACCATTGAACAGCAATGGTGTCTGCGAAGCATATGGATGTGGTAATGGAGGACCATTTTGATTCAATCCAGATGTTGAATTCGATGGGAGTGAGGAGAGTGGAGGATTCGGAAACAGAAGACCTGCTGTTGAACTGTTAAAATTGAAACCGGTCAATGATTTCACAAACGAAGATGCAGCAGCAGAAAGACTTTGTTGAGTGATTGGATCAAATGGAAGTCCAGTATCTCCTGAATCCATTGAAAGTGCTTGATGATGGTTATGATGATGTGTTTGGTGAAAATGGGCATGTTGATTCGACTTCATTTCCTTATTAGATGAAGGTGATTGATCGGAACTCAAATCTCTCATATTATTAGCTGTTGTTACTGTTGATGATACTGATGAGAGAGAGGAAGAGGAAGAGGATGGTGGACAATCTGAATGAGACAAATTATTAAACGGATACGCTGAATTTGGTCTCATAGGACTTGTAATATGCTGTGGTTTCATGTCGGCAGTATAACCTATATAAAAAAATGATAAAGGGAATATAAATTTAGTAAGATAAAATATCATGTTTATTCGGAAAATTACTTAAGGTTAAATGTAGAAATTTTTTGGAAAACATTTTACTCTCAAACTAGACGTCATTACCGAAATCTTTGTCGATAGTGCGTTGAATATGAGCGGGATGAGAATGATGATACGAATAAAGAATTAGATTCTTGTTAGTGGTAGTAGTAGTAGTAGTAGTCTGGTGTGTGCCACTGATGTTAACAGATATACGTCGTAAGTATCAACAATCGAAAGTGGAATGTCTGGCGGTAGATGGTTGAGAAAATGGAAGAGAAGAGGACGAGAACAAAGAGTGGTTGATATGGAAAAGAAAAAACAACGAATTCTGAGACAATTGATGGAAATTTTGCGAATGAAGTATTTACTATATGGTTCTCAGATTCCGTAACGTTCTATTAAAATACATTTGATTGTTCCCGCCTGTGTCCTAGTTCACTACAGTATTATTATTATTATTATTATTATTATTATTATTAGTAGTAGTAGTAGTAGTAGTAGTAGTAAGATAAGTACTATTTTCTTTTTTTAAATTAACTTCTCAATGTTCGTTTTGATAATGAAAGGCTATTACTATTTAAGTAATTGATTAATAGTGACCACTGTAAAGCAATAATATAGTTTTCATTATTGATGACCTTTAAAAATCATAGAATGTATAGTGTAAATCATTTTTCAGCCAATATTACATTATCATTATGGGGTTGTGGAGATTGTTGAGTTTAGACTGATATCATATATGGATCAACGTTAGGTCGCCATTGAAAGCCTGGAAGCACTGGACGGCCTTTTTTTCTAGTATAGGACTAGCGAGAAGTGCACATCGACGATCCTTCACGTGGGACTCGATCCCGGGACCTTCTGTCTGGAGCACGAATGCTTAACGTCTAGACCACTGAGCCGGCTTTCAACGGTGTTAATGTTAAAATTCAACCAATCCACGACATTACGCAACCATCTTCCATTGTCTTCAGTGAGTAACCATCTCACAACAGACACGGTTGTGATTAGTGGAGTTCAACCGTGTCTGGTGCGATTCATTTACCCACGGTAGTTTGACATTGACCTACTCATTATATCAATCTAAACTCAACATTAAATTATCTCCTAACAACTGTAGTGCAGTTGGATGTTTCAGCATCCAACCTAGACACTTTATGGAATCTGTTTACTAAATAAGATGATTTAACCTGTGAGTTAACGATATATTCGTTGATCAAACAAAAAAAAGAACAATTAACCGCTCATTATTTCTTACATTTGGATTTCTAGCCAGTTCATAATATTACACCATTATGCTTCCCACTAGAGCAACAGATTCATCTTCACAATTAATTTCTTTCCAATAAAAATAATTTGCTAAACTGTCAGAATGGATACAGAATTACAATCAAGTTATCCTATGTAAATATAGATTTCATTATCAGAATATTCAGTTCAAAAGAAACTAGATATTTAATAAGAAAAATCTTCTTTTGAACAAATCGCTATCTCACTTAACACATACACGTACAAATACATAGTCTTTTTTTTGTTTCTCACTTCTCGTTTATATTATTCTTAGTACAATGTTTTGATAATAGGAATTCTCTGGACATCAACATACATTCACACACACACTTACAAATACATATATGTAGTTATATATCATTCAATAATTATTAAGACAAGCAAATTCAATTTGGCCAGACAAAGCAAAATGACCTCAATGAAATAAATTAATATTGATATATCATATTTGTAACTCATCGTTACCACAATAATAATAATAACGATTATTATTATTATTATTATTACTGTTACTGTTATGTATATTGTTTTGTTTATTACTTTCATCATAGCCCAAAACAAACGATGACAACAGTGATAAAAATGTATACCAATCAATGGAAGAAAGAAATGCTTGACCATAACACTTCAATTCATTGAAGCGTTTAGTTTTTGTGACGAGGTTTCTTCAAGTAAAGCAGGAGAAGGTGGAGAAAAAAAAGAAAAGAAATCAATCTTTTTTTTGAATAGGTAAAAACATATGAGTAATCTGAATTTATTTATCAGTAATAATTTGTCATTTTCATTGTTGTGGCAATGGGTTATAGTAATTCATATATATATACAGACCTTTTAGAGAAATAAAAATCAATTTGAAGATAATGGCTAAGACGTGTTGGATGTATTAGCGTTAGTGTTGATGTTAATATTTTAATCAAACACTTGGATAGTTTCACTTGTGCTCACACTAACTAATCAGTAAGAAGTAACCAATGTCATGTTTTCCTAGCCTTTAGTGCTAATTGAATTCTACCGATCGGGTTTAATAGGGACTACTAGTTCAAGTGATTGGAACTCGACATCCACAATGTATTGTGTTATATGGTTGGAGACAATCAACAGAAAGCTTTGAACCTAGGTTTCGAGTTAGTTATCGCTTTTAAGTAAAGCATATCTACAATTTAAAATGAGATTAAAGTTCATCGGGACGTTCATATTTGTGTGTCACGATCAGAGATATTTTCATAGAGCAATTTATACTGTATCTAAGCCCCTGTATGACTAAGGTATTTTATATCAAATAGCAACGGATGTCATGTTGTCCAATCCTAATTTAAGTTCCCTTCCACTTTTTATCCTTTTTTATTTTTTGTTACCAACTAATCATAAACAAGGAAGGATTTATTGTTTACGGTAAATTAATATTGAGGATTTTCTTCAGTGAATAATATTTTTTAGAAATGCATTAATGTTTTAGTCATTACTATCATGTAAATCATTAAATTGACGGATGACACATTGTGATTTGTCTGTGATTGAATTGTCTTATATAAATAATTTTTTTTACCAATATTCACTGATGCCGATTCAAAAATATATGCTCTTATCATCAGGGGTAAATTTGAAAGCGAAATAGACCATTATGTAAGAAATGTATTGCTTGACAATAACGATGTTTCAACGAAAAGACTCTACAGTTGTAATGATTTATTTTGTCAGCGATTCGAGACAAAGTTTGTTTGAAACTATACTAGTTCCTAGTTTTCATGTAGCCTCAAAGTTTACCAATAAATTGTCAGGGTTAGTGAAAAAACACTGAATAGTATTTCAGCTATAATGTCATTCATAATGGTTATCCTGATACTAAAGATCGATCATTTAATAGGTGAGTGTTGCATATAAGACAGTAATTTTCATAGGAGATTTAATGTCAAGCTTTAACTTCACCATTTTCGTGTTTTACATGTAGAATTTTGTGCTATGCTACATTGATGTGTTCATAGCACATATTTATGGATAACTCTAGACGTTTTAAAGGAAATTTTTAATGAAAAATACATTCTACTATGTAAAATTCACTCAATCACTGAACGGAAAAGTTGATTAAAATGCTGGATATAACACATCTGTTGCGAATAACTTCAACTGTTACATGAAGTAATCTTGCCGTAACCTGTCTATTCTATTCTTTCTTTTGTTTACTTCATTAAATTTAATATTACCAGGTAAGATTTCGGTTATTCCTTAAACTGTATTACATAAGATAGCTTACTGTATCATGCGGTTCAGAAAAAACTTGTGTATATCTTTATACTTTCTTCAAATAAACACCATTTAATGATGGAAAAAGAAGGTAAGCACGGCGTTCTATCTTAAGTTGAAAAATTAAGTATATAAAAAAGGATCCAAAAGGATTCAAATTTTTCAGTACTTGTTTGCACGGAATCTTTTCATAGTTAGAATAATTTATCAGATTACTAGAAATATTCAATTCGTGAATGTGAGGAAAATCTTAATAAATAAGTTGAAAACGAATTCTAAAGTTAAATTTAAATATTGTTCTAAGTTCAATGCTTCATAAACTTTACAGAATTTAAACGTTATTGAATTTGAAACACAAATCAAATGGTTTTGAAATGTAATAGAAATCTAACCAAGAATATGTTCCTGTAGTCAGAGTATAACACTTCAAAACTAATTAGCTTTTTAAATCTTGTATTCTAATTTTGAATCATCTAAATAGGCATGAAGTTGGATATCCACCAATGACTACTAGCGGTAATTCCACCGAATCGCTAAGATGATGATGATGATGATGATGATGATGATGATGATGATGATGATGATGATGATGATGATGATGATGATGATGATGATGATGATGATGATGATGATGATGATGATGATGATGATGATGATGATGATGATGATGATGATGATGATGATGATGATGATGATGATGATGATGATGATGATGATGATGATGATGATGATGATGATGATGATGATGATGATGATGATGATGATGATGATGATGATGATGATGATGATGATGATGATGATGATGATGATGATGATGATGATGATGATGATGATGATGATGATGATGATGATGATGATGATGATGATGATGATGATGATGATGATGATGATGATGATGATGATGATGATGATGATGATGATGATGATGATGATGATGATGATGATGATGATGATGATGATGATGATGATGATGATGATGATGATGATGATGATGATGATGATGATGATGATGATGATGATGATGATGATGATGATGATGATGATGATGATGATGATGATGATGATGATGATGATGATGATGACTATTACCCACTAGATTAAGATCTCAAAGATATTGAAATGGATAAGTTAATAATCACAAAGGAAGTAGTACTATAGAGTATTGTAATGAAATAAAACGTTTGTCTAGTACTATGTATATTTGAATGATTTAATAGTATCAATTATTTTTTATGCTTAAACCACTAAATAATAAAAATACAAATTGACCATGTGTTACATTTTTCTTATTTAAATGACTGTCAATGAATAGTTTACTTGTTCTACGAAAAGAAAAGAAAAACACCTCAGGTAATTGGATAAAAATAACACTATCTAAGTGTTAAACATATTTTAAATTCGAACCAACTAACAATTTGGCCATCTGTTTATTTCCTTAATTATAACAACAGGACATTTAACTCATTCAATTCTCAATTGTTTGAGTAAATGAATGAATACAGTAAAAAAAAGATTAAAAAGAATCATAGAAGAATAAAAACATGGAAGAATTTCAATAAAACAACCGGACATACAACTCATTATTTTGCGTGACTTTTATCATAATATTATCAACCAAAAGGTTTAAACATACATGTACCTACATACATACACACACACACATTAACCAACTAACTAACTAACAAAATAACATCTAGATTTATGGTGATAGCTACTATGAAACATAAAAAAGATTTGGTCCATTCTCTTGAATGTTCATGTTCATTGTTATTAATCATGTTTTCGTAAAACAGAAAAAAAAGAAAAAAAGAAAAAAAAAGAAAACTAAAGAAACTTTTTGAAAGTATTTAGTTAGTTATAAAAGAAATTGATAAAATAAAAAAAGAGAGAAAAACTTGAAAAAATAAAATAAACTTAACAGATATGATGGTGATGCTGATGATCAATGACTTAGTTTTTCTATCTTAATAATTTAAAAAGTTTGTAAAACTGTAAAAATGAGAGAGAGAAAAAAGAAAAAAAGGAAAAAGAAAAATGACATTGCGTGTACCATTGGGAAATGTCTAAAAGATATTCATATATATATATATATATATATATATATATATATATATATATATATATATATATATATATATATATATATATATATATATAGATAGATAGATAGATAGATAGATATAGATATTTACCTTTTAAATGTTACATAATTCTTAAACTTCAAAAGACTATGAAATCACCTTTCTTCAGAAATAATTGAACAACAGCTAAACGGGTATAGACATGCATATATATATATATATATATATATATATATATATATATATATATAAGGGGTTGTCTTTATAAATGAATGATCAGATCCCATGTGGGATTTGTAAGAGGTGTTTTTATTACTATAATTATATGACAATTATATAAACCAGAATTCTAAAGCAATACATTATTTTCTTTTTAAAGATTAATGAATTCATTTCTTAACAGCCTTTAATTATTACAATGTTTGGTGTCAGCTATTATGTAATTATTAAAAGAAAATTATTGTGATGGTAGAGAAAATTTGTAGCTCAGGTGGATGATTTTGGTAGAGTTTTTTCTCTGAGCTTGGTCGTGGAGCTTTTATCATTCTTCTGAACGACATCATCAGCACAAACTTCAGATAGAAGTGAAGTGTTCGAATTTCTCCATATGTGTTTCACAACTTGTTCTGTGCACCTCGATGTTGATTGGTTCTTATTGACCTTAAATTTGTCATTGTTTGCTTCTTTGTTTTGGTTGTGTCGCCCATTGGTTTGGTTTTTGTTCCTATATTTGTGCATGATTTTCCTGATTGGTTAGTAAATTGGATTGATTTCAATATGCTTGTTGATTGCTGATTAACCTGAGTGCCAGGCTTCTAAAAATTCTCTGGTGTTTTTGGAGTTTCCTCTGCCTAAGATTTCCACATTTTTCCAATCGAATGAGTGTCCGCAGTTGTCCACGTGTATTGATATAAGTGAGGAGATATTATGGCGTTTGACTGCTAATTGATGTTCGTGTAGGCGAAGGTGAAAGGGGCGTCCGTTTTGTCCGATGTAGTGTTTTTCGCAGTTGGCACAATTTATTTTGTAGATGATGTTTGATTTGTTTTCCTTTGTTATTCCATCCTTTGGTTTGCATAGGGTTGATTGTAGTGATTTTGTCGATTTGTGTGCCATTCAGAAAAACGATGAAAGCTCCACGACCAAACCATCCAGCTCAGAGAATAAAGCTCCACCAAGAAAATTATTGTATTTAACAATGTATATTTGATGTGTTGTCAGTAGGTAGATTGTAGTAGAATATTTATTCATGTATTATTCATCAATGACATACATTGATAGATCTCAATGAAATCTCTACTAACAACGAATTACTACTTTGATGATGTACAGTAATAAACTCTATGTTCATCACTATACAAGATCTATTATTATCTTGAAGATATTCAATTGACATAAACAAAATTTTAATATACATCAATACCTTTCGACTAACCATGTACTTTTGCTGAATGAATAGCGGATGAATAAAAAATCGAACTAATATTGACATATTTCAGTAATAAAGATTGAAAAAAATCAGTTGTATAAAATCGGCGGTTAATCAAACGTTATTCTTAACATCATGGTCTATGTTACTTCCTAATGTCAAATGAATTAAGGTTGTGAAATACTATACTCTAACATTGTGTTCAGAGTTTGGATGGTAATTTCAATCATTTTTCAATTGCATCAATTGTCGATATTCTATTCTATCGTCATCGTGTTGAGTATTCCTACTTCTTTTTACAAAAAGGACACTGAAAGTATATATTATTACATAAATTGATTAGTGACATAGATTTGGCAGAAAGATTAACAGTTATTGTACATTTATAGCTATATAGTTTCAACAATTGAAACCATAGACTTACAAAGATGAAGCTCGTTTTAGTCAACAAACAGGACAATACTTAAACTCCTGTACAATGCTCTCTGGTTTCGATGAATCTGTAGTTGATGTTAGTATTTGATTCAAACTTATTCGTATTTAGATAAACTGATATCTAGACCGAACTATATCTTTAAAAATGATTTGACTGAGTAATGGTCATTAATAAAAGATTAATTTTACCATATATTGCACCCTAAATATACCATCATAGATAGTTGGACTTATCTCAGTAGGCTGCTTACAATTTAATCTCCTAAAATACAAAATAGACATGCGATAAGTGGATTAAGGTGAATGGTAAATAAATTTCTTTTAAATATATATAAACTACTTATTCGAAACAACAGGATATTTGTAACCAGCTATTAATCACAATTATCTACAAATCAAGTATGCTCTTGTCAAAATACTTTTCATTAATTTCCAACGAAGATCATTATTTTGAATTGAAATTAATATGTAGAATGTGTCCGTTACTGATAGGGGAATAAATAAAGAGTGCTGAATCCCCGAATACTACGTTTAAAAAGAAATCAGTTTTAAAATTCATATATTAGTTTAGAGTGAACTTCGTCCACTGATTTTCAAAGTGCTTTCATTTCCATCGACGTATTCAGTATGAGGTTGGTCTACACAACTTTCAATAAATCTTTATTGTATTAGTTAGCTTGCTATGATTTTGTGTTCGAGTGACAACTATTCAGTTGGCACATTTTGTCCACTGTAATAACTGCATATTTGAATTAAAGTTGATATAAACTAACTCCTCTGGGGTCATCACCAATACATCTTTAGATGATTTCTATCACCTACATCACTCTGAGGATTGTCGTTGAAGTATTAAGCATTAGTTATATGGTTTATCCAGTTAGTTTAGATTCTATTCCGTACCAAAAAATTCTGCTAATAGTTTGTAGGTCAGAAATACAGAATTTAAACTCAATCAAAAACATCAACGCACTAACTCTAATGGTAAAGGTTAGTCGCGAAATCTAAAATTTCTGTGATCAAACCTATGTAGGGTCTTATGTGAGTATAACATCACTCTATCAACAAAGCGATATTACGTAATCTCTTTTTAGTCTTCTCATCCTACATCACCACTAATTACTAATTATGTCGTTTTATTTAATCTAAATTCTTATTCATGGATATATTACATTTTAGTCATTTCAATATTCGAAAACGCTAACAAACTTCTTTTTTACTTAGAAATATTAAATCGAAATCCTGTAATTTTAAATGATTTTGACGCAGGAGATATAGAAATTATTGAATTTGTAGTTTTATATCACATATTGACCAATTAATTAGGTCTACTACTCAAAAGTAACATATATTATATTAATATTTCTTCTCTATATGAAATTCTCCAAGAGTATCTAAACACAACCCCATTAAGCATCGAATCCAGAACCTTTGAGCTTTGTAGAGATTTGTTTTTGTTAAATTTAGGACAGGGTTTTGTGAAGATTTTGCTAAGTTAATAGTTGATTTCATGAGCCAATTAAAGCTAGACCATTATGCAAAACCTTGAAGCACTGAACGGCCGTTTCGTTCTACTGTGGAACTCCACAGCAGTGCTCATTCACGGTCTCGCCCAGCAAGATTCGAACCCAGTACCTATCAGTCTCGTGCGAGCATTTAACCTCTAAACCACTGATCCAGCATCCAACGGTGTCAATGTGTAACCTCAACCAATCCACGAAACTGAGCGACGTATTGATTAACGACATATAGATGAATGAATAATATTCCTTTAAAATATATCCCTGTCAAGTTCTATCTACCATTATAAATTAAAATGGTTAGTCAAAAATGTTAAATAAATTCAGTAGTTGAATCCGTGAATCAATTAAAGCTCAGCACTATGCATCCATGATCCCGCCCGCGGAATTCGGACCCAGAACCAATCAGTCTCACGCGCGAATGCTCGAATGCAAATGATAGATCATGGGTTCAAATCCCGCGGGCAGGATCGTGGATGTGCACTGCTAAGCTTTAAATGACTCATGAATTCAACGACTGAACTACTAAAATCTCCACAAAACCCCCTTCTGATATATTAAATATATTTTAATATAAAACAAATTTATTTCAATATCTAAAGTATTAAAATTTATTCTAACCTGTACTTCATTG